GAAGTTGGCATCATGATATATCTCTCCTGGCTGAGAGCTGTCCTCACAACAAGTAGATTAAAAACAATAAAAAATAACCATGCCTTTTTAAAAGCTGGTGGTAGAATTAGAAATATTTAACAAAATACAGTCTTTGGCTACATGAAGTATTTTTAGTTTCAGTCCTGAGTTTTGGCCCTCCACCTCTTTGTTCATGCTTTAAAAGCTCTTCAGCCTCTATTCTTTTAATTCTTCTGTTGCTGTTGCACTGTCCTCAGGATTCCTTCTGCATTTTTAGAAAGTAAATTAGTGATACGGAAAAATAATCTGCAAAAATCCACAAAAATGCATTTCTGGAATCTTAGTTTATAGTAATATTGGATAAAAACAAAACCATCATTATAACTGGTTTTACTAGTTTAATAACAAAAAAAACTGTAGACATTTTCAGGAAAATTCAGTGGATTTATTGTAGATAACAGAAACAAATAGATGTCGAAATGTGTTGGTATCTTTAAATTAATCTCTTTACATTATTTTTTAGAACTGGATTTAGTCAAATTTACCACAGTATATGGTTGGTTCTCAGACGATGCAAATGTTTTACCCAAACAAGGATGTCTGCTTGTCTAAATCTTAAAATGTTCAATTCATGTGTTCCTGTTTGTTGTGCAAAGTGAGCAAAAGTAAACAGCTGTTATCTTCCTGTGGAAAATTATATATAAAAAGTTGCTGCACATCACCGGAAACTATTAAATCTTTTCAACAACTACACTATTAGCCTTTTGACAAAACAATAGCAGAAATGGAGGTAATGTAATACATACAAAGCCCAATGAAATGTGCTGTTAATTTAATTAGTTTTTGCTGAAAACAAGCCTTTAGGGAAATATACAGGATAAAGGAGAAAAAATTAAAACACTTCATAAAAATATAAAATACAGGTACAGATACATTAATATATTTTATGCTGGTTTTTGGAGCATTGGCTAGTACTGCTGCCTTGCAGCAAGAAGGTTTCGGGTTCGAATCCCTGGGGTCTTTCTGCATGGGGTTTGCATGTTCTCCCTGAGTATGCATGGGTTCTCTCCAGGTACTCCGGCTTCCTCCCACAGTCCAAAAACATGACTGTCTAAATTCTCGTACGTGAATGATTGTTTGTCTCTGTGTTGCCCTGCGATGAACCTGTCCAGAATGTACCCCGCCTCTTGCCCGTAGACAGCTGGGGATAGGCACCAGCACCCCTCACAACAACGCTTGGGGTAAGCGTAACGGAAAATGGATGAATGGGTGGATAGCTCTGGCCCTTACACAATTGTCAATATCAAAGTACTATCATTATAGAAGATTGAGAAAAAAAAAATACATATACTCTCTTTCTTTAATGTAAATAATTTTATTTTTGTTGAATTTTTGTTCCTGGTTCTTTTTAAAAGAAATCAAAAGCATAGAATTTTATGAAGTTATTAAATGAGGGGATGAAGCAAAAATGACATTAATGTTTAAAGATATTGTTATATCTATACATTTTTTATATTTATTAAATACTTATTCTTAGAAATTGTGAAGTTGTGAAGATCTCACTTCTGAATCATAAGCAATTAGACCTATGCCTCCCCACCGGCGCCTTAGTTCCGGATGTTCTGTCTCCAGGTGTTTTTTGAAGAGCCCCATTGTTATGCCTGTATGAGATGCATTAACCCCCAAAATGAGTCAGGATTTTTACAATTTTCATTAAAAAAACAGTCAGATTTGTGTCTACTGTATTCCATGAGAATGCAGTCATGCACCACAACCTGACAATGAGTGAAAAGAAAAAGAAATCTAAAAGAACTGATTATTAGCAGAAATGCGGTATCGCGACTGCACAACTATGGGCACCGCAGGCATCGATGGACTAGGAATCCAGGACTGTTGGCCAGCCTCATTCATTAATCATACAGGTTAATCATCTCATTATCTTGAGAAATCAATAACTGTTTTGTCTTCATAACGAGATAATTATGTTGTTATCTCGAGAAAACAATTAATGGTTTAATCTTATCTTGAGACGACAAAGGAAAAAAAAAAGTTGAGTTCGACCTCTCTCGGCGTCCGTACAAACCTCTTACATTTGACTAATATGTGGATTTATTTAGTTTAACTTTTGACGTTAATATAAGGTGTGTCATTGACGTTAATATATAGTGTGTTAAGATTTGTTATTAACCTATTATCTTGGCACTTCTAGGCCATATTGTTTGGTCAGTAATAATTTTCTCACAGGAATCTTTTATCTTATATTACGGCCTGTCATTTTGGCCCGAATGACCAGGCTACCTTTTAGATGTGTTGTGGGGAAAAAAAATGTTAATTATTCATTCCAGTAAAAAATAAACAGAGATAGTTTTATTTCATTTCATCAATATTTTATTTAATCTTGGAATCTAAGAAAATGAAGTCACTTAAAGCTTGCAGGTCTTTGGACTCAGAGGGAGGAGTGTAGGTCTGTGGCTGCGAGTAGACATGGCTTAGGCTAAGTCGTAATGTTGACTGGGATCCAGGGCTGAGGGTTCTCAGTGCAGCGGAGAGTTTTTGCTGAGAAGGAGCAGTTCTGAAAGATCCACGGGGACTTGTAGGTAACAATGCAGGACTTGACGTGAAGGTTGAGGTTAGCAAACTTCCTTGGGAAAACCATGGAATCAGGAATTGGACAGGATGAGACTAAAGCTAACTCTGAGGCAGCACTAAGGGTCGTTACTACTTTGAGAGCATTGACAGTCTGTCATCTGTGTCATGGTTTTTTTTTTGGTTATGTTGTGCTTTACTTTGCCTCATGTTTCCTAGTTTTATTGGTTTAATTCCTATTTTGTTGTAGTTTCTAGATTTATGTTAGTTCTCAGGTTTTTCTGTTGTTTTCCTTTGTTGCCCTCTTGTGTGTGTTCCTTTCCCCTTGGCTCTCCTCTCACACCTGTTCCTTGTCAGCTCGTTAGCCCTGCCTTTGTCTCAGTCAGCTATATATTCTCTCCCTCTGCTGTCACTCTTTGTTGGTTCCTTGTTGTTGCTGGTCCTGTCGTTGCTGTTTTCTTCTCACCTCGTCTCTCCCTGGCTCCTTGTGCATGTTTTCCCCTGACGTCTCCATTGTTCTGGTCTGTGTTACATTTTTAGTTAGATTTTGCCTCTATTATTTGTGTTTGCATTAAAACTACAAGAAATCACCTCAGCCTCTCTGCCTCTGCATTTGGGACCTCTAAACCACAACCAAAACGTGACAGTCTGAGGAAACCAGAAGGCAAAAATTAATCATCCCAGCTTTGTCCTTAAGAGATTAATACTCTTAATTCAATTCAATTAAAAAAATGTTTAATTAATCCCAAAGCAAATAAAATTTTACAGTAATTCCGAGTTGTTGTTTTTTTTTTTTTTAACCAGTTATAGCTGTAGGCAGGAAGGATCTTCTGTAGAGGTTCTGTAGCGGCCTTGCACTGAATCTGGAGAAACCTCTGACTACCTCTGACTAAAGACACTGCTGTTGTTTAAAAATCTTCTGAATAGGATGCTCACTGTTTTCCATAATCTTATTTGGTTTGTGAAAAAAAAATTTTTTGTGTCATAATCTCCAGTGGTTCTACAGGAGTTGATGGAACAGAGCCAGCCTTCTACATCAACTTATTAAGATTTTTTAAGTCATATGTTCTTTTCAGTTTTTAACTTCTTCCTATTTCTTTTGAAATCTAGTCTTATTCCTTTGTTTTGTGGACATTCGGGATCAGATGATCGTTTCCACACCATGTCACCAAGTGGTTCACTTGCTCCCTGTACTTGCTCTTCTTTTGCATCTTTGACTCATCTAATGACTGCAGAGTCATCTGAGTATTTCTGCAGATGACAGGACTCTGGTACAGGAAGTAAAAGGAGTACAGAGTAAAAAGTAATGGTGAGAGTGATGTTCCCTGTGGTGCTCCTACGCTGCTGACATAAATACACAGCTGACCCCTCAGTCTAACAAACTGTGGTCTGTTTGTCAGGTACTAATTGATCCAGGCGATTGTTGATGCCTCCAACTGAGTCTTCTGGAGTTTCTCATTAAGTAGGTCAGGCTGTATTGCGTTAACTGGAGAAATCAAAGAACATGATCCTTACAATGCTGTGATAAATAAAACAATAAATACAAATATGATATATAAATAGAACTAAAGGTTGACTATTTTAAATATTTGAATTTGTGTATTTGAGCTCGTTAGTGTTTATTTGACCATTCATTTTAATTATTGTCTGACACATCTTCTGTGCAAAACTTTCTTCATCTTGGTTCTTTTAAAATGCTATATAAATAGGGTAGTATTTTATGTAAAGGTAGAAAGTCAAAACTACATTATAACTTTTATTTTAAAGTAAAAAATATGTTAATCTGTCTGTGTCATTGTAAGGAGTAACATATTTTCGACTATTAACCTCTGTAAAGAAAAAGAGAGAAATATAATATACAGGCACAAAGCCTTACTAAAGATTTTGTAAAGTGAATATACTTTGGCCAAAAAAATTATTAAAAAAATAATATTCAGAAAAATGTCACAAAAGTAAAAAAAAATACAATAAGGAGAAAACCTTAAATGCATCCTTAAATACATAAATCTCAATAACTATTGGACTCAGGATATTTCCATAGAGCCACTTTGCATCAGCAGCTCCATGCTCCAGCGCTCTGGGAGAGTTTATAGTCCTGAGAGTTGAACACTGGATGACTGACAGCTGTCCTTCATGACAACAGAAGACACAGAAATCCTCCTCATCAAAAACATGACTTTGATCTGCGTCCTCATCTGGACTCTCCTCTGCTGCTGCTTCACAGGTAAAGTCCAGAGAATCAAACTCCTCTCCTCTATGAACATCTGTCCCTCTGAAATGAAGCTGACAAACCATGAAGCTGCTTTATGTTTTTGTCTCTGTGTCCTCAGAGTCCAGAGGTCAGATCACAGTGATTCAGCCTGCAGCAGTGAGAGCTGATCTGGGAGGATCTGTTACCATCAGCTGCAGGACCAGTCAGAATGTTTACAACAACAACCATTTAGCCTGGTACCAACAGAAAGAAGGAGAAACTCGCAAGCTGCTCTTTTACTACATTGGCAGTCGAGTCTCAGGCACTTCAAGTCGTTTTACAAGCAGCGGATCAAACTCTGACTTCACTCTGACCATCAGTGGAGTTCAGGTTGAAGATGCTGCAGTTTACTGCTGTCAGAGTGCTCATCACATCAACAACCAGTGGGTGTTCACACAGTGAAAAACAGTCGTACAAAAACCTCCCTCAATCGGACTGAACTGAAACTCCATCTGAATCTCACACAGAGAAACACAGAGTGTAACAGTCAATTTTTGCAAATATCTTTTCTTACAAATACTTTTCAATGAATAGTTAACATTAACATTTATATTTTACAGATAGTTTTAAGGTCATTCTTGAATATTTTAATAAACTTTGAACAACATGATATAAATAATTAAAAAAGAATGCATTTAAATGTCAATATTATAGATTTATTGAAAGGTATAGATGCAGGAATTTCATCACAACAATCAGATAATGATGTAGCGCTCCTGGCTAAGAGCTATCCTCAGGCTCTGAAAGGAGTTCCTTTAAACAGTGGTGCAAATCTTTTGGCCTTAATTTTACCTGAATAATCAGCATAACCTTGACGGCAATTAGAAATAAGAAAAATCTAATAGGCCAAATATTAGATGGTTAGCAACTTGGTTAGACCAGAAATAGATTTTAAATCTAGTTTCTTGTCATTTGGTTAAAATTGTTTAATCAACGGTAAATTAAACTTTGACTTCACTTCATCATTAATGAAGTTCAGGCTTAAGATTCTGCTAGAGCGTAAACTTTCAACAATCAAGTTGTGTTCAGTGAGACTGAGTAGAAACATAACAAAAGGCTGTCAGTGCTAACTGAATGCAAATAACAAGAGCAACAAAACTTTTTATTTGCTATCAAAGAAATGGTTTTAAAACAACATTTATCATATTTACCAGATAAAAAGACTAAACACAATAAAACAATAAGAGGTATATCCCAAATTAATTACATTTTAAAAAGATTAAAATTGAAATCTTTGGTCAAGAAATGGAATATTAAATACTGAGTTTATTATCTATTATATAAGTGAGTTTGCTTTAAATACAGCTCACTACCAAAGATAAATCATTCTAATTCTAATGCATGGTGTAGGGTGATATAGCTGCTGGGGCCCTGAGCTATCAGTGGGATATGTTACTGCGCTATAACTATATAATTATACAGGCTGCAGATATTTTAATGCATGCACAGATATTTGGATGTGTAGGTCACAAACTCAGGACTGATAAAACACTTTATATGGCTGAAGCTTTTATTTTGCAAAATTATCGATATGCATAGATTTTTGTTTTGATCACCAGTTTTGAAAAGGCATGTTTATTTTATATTTGATTTGAAGCTATCTGTTCTTTCAATCCAGTTAAACTACAGATCAAACAAAAGTTAAAGAGAGATGTTTGAAACTTTGGGTCCAAGTCCCAGACAGCCAGTTTGAAATAGTGAAACAAACACTTTTTTTACAGACTAAACAGACAGAGACGTTAAGAGCTAACAGCACTTTTTTAAAATCTTTGGTAAACTCAAAAGTGAATTTAAATTTGTCAATGAAGATTTACTGAGGAATCAATAGCCAAGATATTTTAAGATAAAAAATATATATATAAAAAAAACACCTCAATTTAAAATGTGTTATTTCACACAGTATAAATGTTGGAGCCATATCAGCAGTAAACACCATTAATTAGTTAGTAATTTATTTTTCTGTGGTGATAATTCTCCTTTTCTGATCCTTCTGATTTACTCTATCATTAATGAAAGAGAGAACAACTTTAGCATAATACAAAAAGACAAAGTCCAAGACCATGATTTGTTAAAGAGTATTCTCCAAAAGTTGTTTATCAAAAATTTCCCATAAACCTTTATTTGGCTGTGACTCCATCCTGGAGAGAAATATCAGCTGTGCTGCTGCCATCACCACCTTTGTTTATAGATGTTGGAGATCAGCCTGTTTTTTCAGGTTTAGTCCTGTTTCTTTGAATGTGACTGGCTGGATGTGATCTCTTCATCCTCTGACATGGGAATTGGCTCGGAGCTCGTCTGCCTGGCTGTGTTTTTCCTGGACGGGGCATCCTATTACAGTTGCCTTTTGTATCTCTGCTTCTGTCTCCTTGAACTTCAGTCGGCCTCAGCAGATACCCGCTCACACTGAGCCTGGTTCTGCTGAAGTTTTCTTCCTGTTAAAAGAGAGTTTTTCCTCTCCACTGTCGTTACAAGCATGCGTAGTGTGAGGGATTGCATTTGAGTCAATGAGTTGATGCAATCAACTGGTTTTCCTTAGATAGAAAACTTTGAATCGATTTGACTGTATGATCTGGTGAACTGTAAAGTGCCCTGAGATGACTTGTGTTGTGAATTGGCGCTATATAAATAAACTGAATTAAAAACGGTTCTGCAGCAGGTTTTTTGATTAAAAAGCAATCAAATCAAATCAGCAATTATGTTGAAGCATTTAATCTTAGACAAACTCTTTAATCATAATTAACGACCAATTTAAAGTGCAAAGTAAAATTAGCATTATAAAAACAAAAAAGTGAATGAACTTAAAGACTAAGAGATCTGTTCTCTCCAAAGTGTCTCTAGTTGCCCCATTTACACTACCCTTTTGAAACCGTTGGAGCAAAGTAACCGAGATATCTGTGTGTAAATGGCACCCAAACGGAGCCGGTATGTGCCAGACACAACTGAAACACACTAAACTAGTACTAGTTCAACAGAAAGGCTCGGAGCGGTTCAGCTGTGGCTTGGTTCTCTGATGACAAAGAGTGCATGAGCAGACCACGTCATCTCCTTACAGTCAGATTCCAGTAGTTGGTGTTAATGCTACAACACAATTTGAGCAGCAAAAAAGTGCCTGCTGTTTCATTTTTGGTGCTTGTACACATTTTGATCAGACATGCGTTTTGAGCATCCTTGACACTCCTGAAGCCCGTCCAGTAAAGTGTGCACAGATGCATCTGATGCTTCTGTTGCTCCTGTGTTTAATGACAGAGAGCAGCATTGCTATATTTGGAGTGATCAGTGGGTAAAAAGTAGTTTTAATAAATTTTCAAGTGAGAAAATCCAACTGAAGACATCATCTGCGCAGTCAGTTCATCAAGATTATGATCCTGCCTTCAAATATTATTTTGCTGTCATACCAGCACACTGTACACAGGCGGTACTCTGTTACTGGAAATCCTCAGCAACAGCAGCCTCTGGCCCGGTTGCCTCTTGGAGGTTTTCCACTACTGTTTGTGGTGGTTGGAAGGAGATGTTAGTGGTTTTCATGTACGTAATCCAAATTGCACACACCAGCATAATAAAAGCAAGGATATTTTGATGGCGGGTTTTGACATTTTAAGTTCTTTTAGATGTTTATAAACTGTTTCAGAGGAGTGATCATAGCAGTCTGCCTCAGCAGTGCTGCGTCTGTCTCCCTGCCAGCTGATGTGGCGCGTCGAGCAGTTAAAGTTAAATTTTTCCAACTCCAGCAACTGCTGCTTGTGAAGCGCGTCACACACCTCAGATGCTCAGACTCTGATGGGGCACTGCTTCATCTGCTTAAAAGCATATAGATGAGCTGCTTCTGTTGCTTCGAAACGTCCTGCAAGACCTTTTGATGCACCTCGATGCACATGAACGATTGCCTTTACATGTAAACCAGATGCTTTTGCTGCTTCCATGGCTTGTAGTCTGAATGAAGCATATACACATTAGTAAGTTTCTTGCCAGAGCTCAAAGAGCTGAAATAGATTCTGATGCCCACTGGATGGCAGCATATAACCAACAATAGGAGTCACTCCAACGCCACCCACAAAATCAGCTGAATATGATACAAGAAATTGAAAGAAAAATAAATGGGGCTTATGAATGCAATCTGGGAGCCCTTGGTGGCCTCACAGGTCACAGAGCCCACCTTCCTCCAATAGTCTAGGAGCTTCAGGGTGCTAGAGGCCGTCCTTCTGCAGGACTCCTTGACTGCAGGGCAGACTCCAGTCTAAGGGGAAGCCCTTGTTGGCTAGATACATGAAGATGGATGCATTATCAAAACAACATCAAGAAAAATAAATAATAATCCCAAATCCCTTGGAGAAACTGTTTTAGAAATACATAAAAAGAAACAAACATTTCTCATAGTAATGGTTTAGTTCTCTCTGTTTGTTTTTCTTTTCATTTTTTGTGTTAGTTTTTCCCATTTTAACGAGATAATAATCAAACATATGTTTTGTACAGTTTTGGAGATTAAAGGAATAATTTGTAAGAAATGTATGAAGTAATTCATTTTAGGAATCTAAAGTCTGTCTTGGAGTCAGTCAGAGTATTTCCATAGAGCCACTTTGCATCAGCAGCTCCATGCTCCAGCGCTCTGGGAGAGTTTATAGTCCTGAGAGTTGAACTCTGGATGACTGACAGCTGTCCTTTATGACAACAGAAGACACAGAAATCCTCCTCATCTAAAACATGACTTTGATCTGCGTCCTCATCTGGACTCTCCTCTGCTGCTGCTTCACAGGTAAAGTCCAGAGAATCAAACTCCTCTCCTCTATGAACATCTGTCCCTCTGAAATGAAGCCGACAAACCATGAAGCTGCTTTATGTTTTTGTCTCTGTGTCCTCAGAGTCCAGAGGTCAGGTCACTGTGAATCAGCCCGCAGCAGTGAGAGCTGATCTGGGAGGATCTGTCAGCATCAACTGTAGAACCAGTCAGAATGTTTATAACAACAACTATTTAGCCTGGTACCAACAGAAAGATGGACAATCTCCGAAGCGTCTCATTTATTATGCTAGCTCTAGAGACTCCTGGACTCCAAGATGGTGGATCAAGCTCTGACTTCACTCTGACCATCAGTGGAGTTCAGGTTGATGATGCTGCTGTTTACTACTGTCAGAGTGCTCATCACATCAACAGCCAGTGGGTCTTCACACAGTGAAAAACAGTCGTACAAAAACCTCCCTCAATCAGACTGAACTGAAACTTAAGCTGAATCTCACACAACCAAACACAGAGTGTAGCAGTAATTTTTTGCAAATATCCTTTCTAACAAATACTGTTCAGTGAATAGTTCACATTAACATTTTATTTTACAGGTAGTTTTAAGGTCATTCATAGGCTTGAATATTTTTGAACAACTGATAGAAATAATTTAAAAAGAATGCAATTAACT